TCCCATCCCTCGTAGCTCTGGGACAAGCCTCGTCGCAAACCTCTGAACCTTCTCCAGTTTCTTTATGTGTTTCTTCAGGTGGGGGCTCCATGATGGCGCGGCATACTCTAAGACGGGTCTCACGTAGGCAGTGTAAAGCGCCCTAAAAGCTTCCTCATTTAGGTTTCTGAATGAAGTTCTAATTTTCGCCAGTGTAGAGTACGCTGCTGTCGTTATCCTATTTATATGTGCCTCAGGAGTTAGATTGGGTGTCACATCCACTCCCAGGTCTCTTTCTCGAATCGTTACAGGTAGGCTGTTCCCCTTCATTGTGTACTGTCCCTTTGGTCTCCTGTCACCTGATCCCATTTCCATAACTTTACATTTACTGGTGTTAAACTCCAGTAGCCATTTCTCTGACCATCTCTGCAGCCTGTGTAAGTCCTCTTGGAGGATCCTACAATCCTCGTCTGTCACAACTCTTCTCATTAATTTTGCGTCATCTGCAAACATTGACATGTATGATTCCACTCCTGTAAACATATCATTTACGTAAATTAGAAAGAGGATTGGTCCCAGCACCGATCCTTGAGGTACTCCACTTGTTACTGTTCGCCAGTCCGACTTTTCGCCCCTTACCATTACCCTCTGGCTCCTTCCTGTTAGGTAGTTCTTCACCCATACTAGGGCCTTTCCGCTTACTCCTGCCTGCCTCTCAAGTTTGTATAGCAGTCTCATGTGCGGTACCGTATCAAAGGCCTTTTGGCAGTCAAGAAATATGCAGTCTGCCCAGCCTTCTCTGTCCTGCCTTATCCTTGTTACTTTATCATAGAATTCTAAAAGGTTTGTTAGGCATGATTTCCCTGTCCAGAACCCATGTTGGTGCTTGTTTACAAACCCAATGCTCTCCAGGTGCTCAACAAGTCTTAGCCTAATTATTCTTTCAAGTATTTTGCAGGGGATGCTTGTCAGTGATACGGGTCTGTAGTTAAGTGCCTCCTCCCTATCCCTTTTTTGAAAATCGGTACGACATTTGCCTCCTTCCAGCAACTGGGCAATTCTCCCGACATAAGTGACTCATTGAAGATCATTGCCAGAGGCACGCTGAGAGCCTGCGCTGCCTCTTTAAGTATCCACGGTGATACTTTGTCTGGTCCAACAGCTTTATTTGCATCCAGTGTTGTCAACTGTTTCATTACATCCTCTGCTGTCACCTCTATATCTGATAGTCTTTCATCTTGGGTAATCTCTTCTAACAATGGGAGCTGCTCAGGCTCGGTAGTGAACACTCCATGGAATTTTGCATTCAGTACCTCGCAGATTTCCTTGTCGCTTTCTGTATATGCCCCTTCTGTTTTCCTCAGTCTTGTCACTTGGTCATTTACCGACATCTTCCTTCTTATATGGCTATGTAGTAATTTTGGTTGCTTTTTCGCTTTGACTGCAATATCGTTCTCATAATTTCTTTCCGACACTCGTCTTATGTTAATGTAATCATTCCTAGCTCTGTTACATCTAATCCTGTTGTCCTCTGTCCTTTGTCTTCTGTACTTCCTCCACTCCCTCCTGCTTCTCACCTTTGCTTCCTGACACTGTCTATTAAACCATGGGTTATTATATTCCCTCCTGCTTTTTTTCTTTATTGTTGGAATAAATCTATCTTCAGCCTCCTTGCATTTCAATATGACTTGGGTCATCATACCTTGCACTGTTTTTCCTCTAAGTTCTTCCTCCCACTGCACTTCTCCCAGGTAGTCCCTTATCCTTCTGTAGTCCCCTTTTCTGTAATCAAGTCTCCTTTCCCGGACCTCTTGTCCTTTGGTCACAATTTTAAGCTCCATCATGTAGTCAAAGGCTAGGACACAATGGTCACTAGCTCCTAGTGGTATTTCATGTTCCAACTGCTCGATGTCTTCTACATTCTGAGTGATAATGAGATCTAATAGGCTGGGCGTATCCCCTCCTCTTTCCCTAGTATCTTCTTTCACATGCTGTGTTAGGAAATTCCTGTCAATAACGTCTACCAGCTTCGCTCCCCAGGTCTCCTCCCCGCCATGGGGATTCCTCGTTTCCCAATCTATCTCTCCGTGATTTAGGTCCCCCATGACCAGCAGCTTCGCTCTCATTCTATGCGCTAAAGTTGCTGCCCTCTGCAGTTCATCCATACATGTCTTGTTGCTGTCCTCGTACTCCTGCCTGGGCCTTCTACTGTTTGGTGGGGGATTGTAGAGTATCAAGATTACAATCTTCTTCCCATCCACTGTCAGGGTTCCATGTATGAAGCTTGTGCTTTCATTGGTACCCGGATTTTCCAGCTCATCAAACTTCCATTTCCGCTTTATTAGTAGTGCCACTCCACCTCCCTGTCTCTGTGTCCTTTCTTTTCTTATCACCTGTGTGTGTGTGTGTGTGTGTGTGTGTGTGTGTGTGTGTGTGTGTGTGTGTGTGTGTGTGTGCGTGTACTCACCTAGTTGTACTCACCTAGTTGTGTTTGCGGGGGTTGAGCTCTGGCTCTTTGGTCCCGCCTCTCAACCGTCAATCAACAGGTGTACAGATTCCTGAGCCTATCGGGCTCTGTCATATCTACACTTGAAACTGTGTATGGAGTCAGCCTCCACCACATCACCCCCTAATGCATTCCATTTGTCAACCACTCTGACACTAAAAAAGTTCTTTCTAATATCTCTGTGGCTCATTTGGGCACTCAGTTTCCACCTGTGTCCCCTTGTGCGTGTTCCCCTTGTGTTAAATAGACTGTCTTTATCTACCCTATCAATCCCCTTCAGAATCTTGAATGTGGTGATCATGTCCCCCCTAACTCTTCTGTCTTCCAGCGAAGTGAGGTTTAATTCCCGTAGTCTCTCCTCGTAGCTCATACCTCTCAGCTCGGGTACTAGTCTGGTGGCAAACCTTTGAACCTTTTCCAGTTTAGTCTTATCCTTGACTAGATATGGACTCCATGCTGGGGCTGCATACTCCAGGATTGGCCTGACATATGTGGTATACAAAGTTCTGAATGATTCTTTACACAAGTTTCTGAATGCCGTTCGTATGTTGGCCAGCCTGGCATATGCCGCTGATGTTATCCGCTTGATATGTGCTGCAGGAGACAGGTCTGGCGTGATATCAACCCCCAAGTCTTTTTCCTTCTCTGACTCCTGAAGAATTTCCTCTCCCAGATGATACCTTGTATCTGGCCTCCTGCTCCCTACACCTATCTTCATTACATTACATTTGGTTGGGTTAAACTCTAACAACCATTTGTTCGACCATTCCTTCAGCTTGTCTAGGTCTTCTTGAAGCCTCAAACAGTCCTCTTCTGTTTTAATCCTTCTCATAATTTTAGCATCGTCCGCAAACATTGAGAGAAATGAATCGATACCCTCCGGGAGATCATTTACATATATCAGAAACAAGATAGGACCGAGTACAGAGCCCTGTGGGACTCCACTGGTGACTTCACGCCAATCAGAGGTCTCACCCCTCACCGTAACTCTCTGCTTCCTATTGCTTAGATACTCCCTTATCCACTGGAGCACCTTACCAGCTACACCTGCCTGTCTCTCCAGCTTATGTACCAGCCTCTTATGCGGTACTGTGTCAAAGGCTTTCCGACAATCCAAGAAAATGCAGTCCGCCCAGCCCTCTCTTTCTTGCTTAATCTGTGTCACCTGATCGTAGAATTCTATCAAGCCTGTAAGGCAAGATTTACCCTCCCTGAATCCATGTTGGCGATTTGTCACGAAGTCCCTTCTCTCCAGATGTGTTACGTGTGTGTGTGTGTGTGTGTGTGTGTGTGTGTGTGTGTGTGTGTGTGTGTGTGTGTGTGTGTGTGTGTGTGTGTGTGTGTGTGTGTGTGTGTGTGTGTGTGTGTGTGTGTGTGTGTGTGTGTGTGTGTGTGTGTGTGTGTGTGTGTGTGTGTGTGTGTGTGTGTGTGTGTGTGTGTGTGTGTGTGTGAGCGTCTACACACAGAGATATACTTGTGCTTCCTGAATGGTGCCTCCATGGTCGAATGTTTGCGTGCGTGTGCAAATGTTTATTTTCTGTTCTTTTAGTGGATATATTGGTGCTGAGTTCCATGTCTTGATAACTGGTACGGGAGAGAGAGAGAGAGAGAGAGAGAGAGAGAGAGAGAGAGAGAGAGAGAGAGAGAGAGAGAGAGAGAGAGAGAGAGAGAGAGAGAGAGAGAGAGAGAGAGAGACAGAGACAGAGAGAGAGAGAGAGAGAGAGAGAGAGAGAGAGAGAGAGAGAGAGAGAGAGAGAGAGAGAGAGAGAGAGAGAGAGAGAGAGAGAGAGAGAGAGAGAGAAATAGAGATAAATTCAATTTACACCTATCATGGTTGCCAACCCCTGCTACCCTCGGCAGGGGTGCCATCTGAACCGATGATCAATATAACATATGGACTCGTATGGATCAATAGACGATGCCTTGTAGAGACAAATAGGCCTTGTCTATTTGCCGCCAATTTTTCAACGCTAGAGTAGAGTTGAGCCTGAAAAATCATAGACCAGCCATTTGATGGACAGAGTTTTGATAGACAGAGATTTGATGGACAGAGAAGAGTGACAGCTGGATTTCTATTGAAAATTTGAATTATGTTTGGACGATGCCTATTACGGAAAAAAACAGATATATATTAAGGGTATAATTAGCCGGTGGCTGAGCGGACAGAACACTGGATGCGGGATCCTGTGGTCCCGGGTTAGATCCCGGGCGCCGGAGAGAAACATTGGGCAGAGTTTCTTTCACCCTGATGCCCCTGTTACCTAGCAGTAAATAGGTACCTGGGAGTTAGTCAGCTGTCACGGGCTGCTTCCTGGGGGTGGAGGGCTGGTCGAGGACGGGGCCGCGAGGACACTAAGCCCCGAAATCATCTCAAGATAACCCTTAATAAAATATAGACAAACATTATATAGAATATGAAATATAGACAGACAAATATATAATTATAAAATTGGCAATAGCAATGATGAGTCGAGGAGTTTAGAACAGATTGTTTATTTAAGAAATAATTGTTTATTTAAGATTGATCTATACCAATCAATCCTTGAAAACCCTCCTCGTAGCCTTGACTACGCTCCTCGGAGCCTTGACTACGCTCCTCGGAGCCTTGACTACGCTCCTCGGAGCCTTGACTACGCTCCTCGGAGCCTTGACTACGCTCCTCGGAGCCTTGACTACGCTCCTCGGAGCCTTGACTACGCTCCTCGGAGCCTTGACTACGGTCCTCGGAGCCTTGACTACGCTCCTCGGAGCCTTGACTACGCTCCTCGTAGCCTTGACTGCGCTCCTCGTAGCCTTGACTACGCTCCTCGTAGCCTTGACTACGGTCCTCGTAGCCTTGACTACGCTCCTCGTAGCCTTGACTACGGTCCTCGGAGCCTTGACTACGCTCCTCGGAGCCTTGACTACGGTCCTCGTAGCCTTGACTGCGCTCCTCGTAGCTTTGACTACGCTCCTCGTAGCCTTGACTGCGCTCCTCGGAGCCTTGACTACGGTCCTCGTAGCCTTGACTACGCTCCTCGGAGCCTTGACTACGCTCCTCGGAGCCTTGACTACGCTCCTCGGAGCCTTGACTGCGCTCCTCGTAGCCTTGACTACGCTCCTCGTAGCTTTGACTACGCTCCTCGTAGCCTTGACTGCGCTCCTCGGAGCCTTGACTACGGTCCTCGTAGCCTTGACTACGCTCCTCGGAGCCTTGACTACGCTCCTCGGAGCCTTGACTACGGTCCTCGTAGCCTTGACTACGCTCCTCGGAGCCTTGACTACGCTCCTCGGAGCCTTGACTGCGCTCCTCGTAGCCTTGACTACGCTCCTCGGAGCCTTGACTACGCTCCTCGGAGCCTTGACTACGGTCCTCGTAGCCTTGACTACGCTCCTCGGAGCCTTGACTACGGTCCTCGTAGCCTTGACTACGCTCCTCGGAGCCTTGACTACGCTCCTCGGAGCCTTGACTGCGCTCCTCGTAGCCTTGACTACGCTCCTCGTAGCTTTGACTACGCTCCTCGTAGCCTTGACTGCGCTCCTCGGAGCCTTGACTACGGTCCTCGTAGCCTTGACTGCGCTCCTCGGAGCCTTGACTACGCTCCTCGTAGCCTTGACTACGCTCCTCGGAGCCTTGACTACGCTCCTCGTAGCCTTGACTACGCTCCTCGTAGCCTTGACTACGCTCCTCGTAGCCTTGACTGCGCTCCTCGTAGCCTTGACTACGCTCCTCGTAGCCTTGACTACGCTCCTCGTAGCCTTGACTACGCTCCTCGTAGCCTTGACTGCGCTCCTCGTAGCCTTGACTGCGCTCCTCGTAGCCTTGACTACGCTCCTCGTAGCCTTGACTGCGCTCCTCGTAGCCTTGACTGCGCTCCTCGTAGCCTTGACTGCGCTCCTCGGAGCCTTGACTACGCTCCTCGGAGCCTTGACTACGCTCCTCGGAGCCTTGACTGCGCTCCTCGGAGCCTTGACTGCGCTCCTCGTAGCCTTGACTACGCTCCTCGGAGCCTTGACTGCGCTCCTCGTAGCCTTGACTACGCTCCTCGGAGCCTTGACTGCGCTCCTCGTAGCCTTGACTACGCTCCTCGTAGCCTTGACTGCGCTCCTCGGAGCCTTGACTGCGCTCCTCGTAGCCTTGACTGCGCTCCTCGGAGCCTTGACTGCGCTCCTCGGAGCCTTGACTGCGCTCCTCGGAGCCTTGACTGCGCTCCTCGTAGCCTTGACTGCGCTCCTCGTAGCCTTGACTACGCTCCTCGGAGCCTTGACTGCGCTCCTCGTAGCCTTGACTACGCTCCTCGGAGCCTTGACTGCGCTCCTCGTAGCCTTGACTACGCTCCTCGTAGCCTTGACTGCGCTACTCGGAGCCTTGACTGCGCTCCTCGTAGCCTTGACTGCGCTCCTCGGAGCCTTGACTACGCTCCTCGTAGCCTTGACTGCGCTCCTCGTAGCCTTGACTGCGCTCCTCGTAGCCTTGACTACGCTCCTCGTAGCCTTGACTACGCTCCTCGGAGCCTTGACTACGCTCCTCGTAGCCTTGACTGCGCTCCTCGTAGCCTTGACTACGCTCCTCGTAGCCTTGACTACGCTCCTCGGAGCCTTGACTACGGTCCTCGTAGCCTTGACTGCGCTCCTCGGAGCCTTGACTGCGGTCCTCGTAGCCTTGACTGCGCTCCTCGGAGCCTTGACTACGCTCCTCGTAGCTTTGACTACGCTCCTCGTAGCCTTGACTACGCTCCTCGTAGCCTTGACTGCGCTCCTCGTAGCCTTGACTGCGCTCCTCGTAGCCTTGACTACGCTCCTCGTAGCCTTGACTGCGCTCCTCGTAGCCTTGATTGCGGTCCTCGTAGCCTTGACTTCAATGCTTATTATTATTAACATCTTTATTGACAAAGTTAATTACAATTTTGTCTAATCTGAGGATTTCAATTAAGTCTTATTAAAGTGAGGATAATGCTGGTATTCACCGATACACAGGACAGAGGGTTATACACAAGACAATAGGGAGCCGGTCGGCCGAGCTTACAGCACACTGGACTTGTGATCCTGTGGTCCCGGGTTCGATCCCGGGCGCCGACGAGAAACAATGGGCAGAGTTTCTTTCACCCTATGCCCCTGTTACCTAGCAGTAAATAGGTACCTGGGTGTTAGTCAGCTGTCACGGACTGTTTCCTGGGGGTGGAGGCCTGGTCGAGGACCGGGCCGCGGGGACACTAAAGCCCCGAAATCATCTCAAGAAAGTCTAAACTGTAGGCTGAAGCATATATATATATATATATATATATATATATATATATATATATATATATGTCGTACCTAGTAGCCAGAACGCACTTCTCAGCCTACTATGCAAGGCCCAATTTGCCTAATAAGCCAAGTTTTCATGAATTAATTGTTTTTCGACTCCCTAACCTACCTAACCTAATGTAAAATAACTTTTTCGGCTACCTAACCTAACCTAACCTATAAAGATAGGTTAGGTTAGGTTAGGTAGGGTTGGTTAGGTTCGGTCATATATCTACGTTAATTTTAACTCCAATAAAAAAAAAATTGGCCTCATACATAATGAAATGGGTAGCTCTATCATTTCATAAGAAAAAAATTAGAGAAAATATATTAATTCAGGAAAACTTGGCTTATTAGGCAAATCGGACCTTGCATAGTAGGCTGAGAAGTGCGTTCTGGCTACTAGGTACGACATATATATATATATATATATATATATCTCATAGTTACAATCAATGTATGAATATGTGAAAACAACTTTTTATTATGCACTGCCACACAAGGGCAGGGATGGGTTCATAAGTGATGCAGCTTAGAAGTAATATAAATAAAATTGTTCTTCATTCTTTAAAATGGACAAGGAAATTTTGGATAAATTGTTAGGATGTCGTCCCGAACACCTGAGTCAATGAAATAGTTACACAGTTGGTGGTACAAGAGGCCAGGAGGTCTAAAATCTTTTACGGTTTCACATTCAACAATATAGTGTTCTAGTGAATGCATTAAAGGTTTATCACAGAGTTTGCAATCTGAATATTCTGGTAGTGGCTCAGCTTCACTAACCTGCCAGATGTGCCTATAGCCAAGGCGAATTCCCGCAATGACTAGGTCACATTACCTGGTTCTGTTACTGTGCTGACCATACAAATACCTATTATTACAAAAGTTGTTCGTCATAACTTTTAATACTGCAGCTTTCAGGTCTCTGGGCATTTCTTAGTTCTTCTAAATCTGAATTAATTTCTCTAATTTGTATGTTTCTAATAATTGCATTAGATAGTCCAAAGTCATACTCAATGTTTTCTTTCCTGCAAGCCTCATTGCCCAATTGATCTACAAAGTCATGTTTTCCAACTCCAACATGGGATGGGATCCACACAGGATAGATAGATGGGATAGAATATGAAATATAGACAGACAAATATATAATTATAAAATTGGCAATAGCAATGATGAGTCGAGGAGTTTAGAACAGATTGTTTATTTAAGAAATAATTGTTTATTTAAGATTGATCTATACCAATCAATCCTTGAAAACCCTCCTCGGAGCCTTGACTACGCTCCTCGGAGCCTTGACTACGCTCCTCGGAGCCTTGACTACGCTCCTCGGAGCCTTGACTGCGCTCCTCGTAGCCTTGACTACGCTCCTCGTAGCTTTGACTACGCTCCTCGTAGCCTTGACTACGCTCCTCGGAGCCTTGACTACGCTCCTCGGAGCCTTGACTACGCTCCTCGGAGCCTTGACTACGGTCCTCGGAGCCTTGACTACGGTCCTCGTAGCCTTGACTACGCTCCTCGGAGCCTTGACTACGCTCCTCGGAGCCTTGACTACGCTCCTCGGAGCCTTGACTACGCTCCTCGGAGCCTTGACTACGGTCCTCGTAGCCTTGACTGCGCTCCTCGGAGCCTTGACTACGGTCCTCGTAGCCTTGACTGCGCTCCTCGGAGCCTTGACTACGCTCCTCGTAGCCTTGACTACGCTCCTCGTAGCCTTGACTACGCTCCTCGTAGCCTTGACTGCGCTCCTCGTAGCCTTGACTGCGCTCCTCGTAGCCTTGACTACGCTCCTCGTAGCCTTGACTGCGCTCCTCGTAGCCTTGATTGCGGTCCTCGTAGCCTTGACTTCAATGCTTAATATTATTAACATCTTTATTGACAAAGTTAATTACAATTTTAGGAAGTGATGTGGTGGAGGCTGACTCCATACACAGTTTCAAGTGTAGATATGACAGAGCCCGATAGGCTCATGAATCTGTACACCTGTTGATTGACGGTTGAGAGGCGGGACCAAAGAGCCAGAGCTCAACCCCCGCAAACACAACTAGGTGAGTACAACTAGGTGAGTACACAAATTTTATACAATAGTTATTATCATTGGCAAAAATTCCATTCCATTTAATATTACAAGCTACTTCAGACATACACTGTGATGGGTTATTTAAGGACTGCAGAGCACTTTTAGAGTCGACAATACTACACAGAAATCAACTTGTTGAGAGGAGCTGTAGTGACGTCACTCTGGTCTAAATATACCGAGCAAAGTTATAATCACTGACCACTGTGTCCTGGGTGATGACGGAGGGAGGGGGAGGGGGGGTAGTCACTGGGGGAGGGACGGGGGGGGGGTTACTGGAGGGGGGGGGAGGGGGCGGGAATGCAAGTTATGATAGCTCCTGTGTCTTGCTATTTATAGAGAACGTTGTGAGAGAGGAATTGTTCTATGGCATCCTTAATTACCACCTCTCCCCTAATCCCCCTCCCCCTTCCCCTTGCCCATGGCCCTCTCCCCCCCCTCGGTGGCACTCAGGAGTGCCGCCGTAACAAAAGGCCACCTCACCAGGGTCCTGCCGTGACGTCACTAGTTCACAGGGCACTCTTTTGTGTGACGTCATCTTTCCTTCTTCATTATATTTAATGGGTTTGGTTATTGTTTGTGGTGGCGTGACGGTGGCGTGTCCGTGGGCGGGCGTGGGCGGGCGTGGGCGGGCGTGGGCGGGCGTGGGCGGGCGTGGGCGGGCGTGAGGGCGGGCGTGGACTCAGACCAGGAAAGTTCGCCGGGTGAATAAGGGACCTAGTGTTTACGGCAATATTTTAGGATTGCTGAAGAGGAGCGGTGAGGCGTCACGATGGTCCGAATGTTGTTGAAGAGTGTGGTCCAAATGTGACTCAAGGAGAACCAGGTGTGACTCAAGGGGAAACAGGTGTGACTCAAGGGGAACCAGGTGTTACTCAAGGGGAACCAGGTGTGACTCAAGGGGAACCAGGTGTGACTCAAGGGGAACCAGGTGTGACTCAAGGAGAACCAGGTGTGACTCAAGGAGAACCAGGTGTTACTCAAGCTGAACCAGGTGTGACTCAAGGAGAACCAGGTGTGACTCAAGGAGAACCAGGTGTGACTCAAGGAGAACCAGGTGTGACTCAAGGAGAACCAGGTGTGACTCAAGGAGAACCAGGTGTGACTCAAGGAGAACCAGGTGTGACTCAAGGAGAACCAGGTGTGACTCAAGCTGAACCAGGTGTGACTCAAGGAGAACCAGGTGTGACTCAAGGAGAACCAGGTGTGACTCAAGGAGAACCAGGTGTGACTCAAGGAGAACCAGGTGTGACTCAAGGAGAACCAGGTGTTACTCAAGCTGAACCAGGTGTGACTCAAGGAGAACCAGGTGTGACTCAAGGAGAACCAGGTGTGACTCAAGGAGAACCAGGTGTGACTCAAGGAGAACCAGGTGTGACTCAAGGAGAACCAGGTGTGACTCAAGGAGAACCAGGTGTGACTCAAGGAGAACCAGGTGTGACTCAAGGAGAACCAGGTGTGACTCAAGGAGAACCAGGTGTTACTCAAGCTGAACCAGGTGTGACTCAAGGAGAACCAGGTGTGACTCAAGGAGAATCAGGTGTGACTCAAGGAGAACCAGGTGTGACTCAAGGAGAACCAGGTGTGACTCAAGGAGAACCAGGTGTGACTCAAGGAGAACCAGGTGTGACTCAAGGAGAACCAGGTGTGACTCAAGGAGAACCAGGTGTGACTCAAGGAGAACCAGGTGTTACTCAAGCTGAACCAGGTGTGACTCAAGGAGAACCAGGTGTGACTCAAGCTGAACCAGGTGTGACTCAAGGAGAACCAGGTGTGACTCAAGCTGAACCAGGTGTGACTCAAGGAGAACCAGGTGTTACTCAAGGAGAACCAGGTGTGACTCAAGCTGAACCAGGTGTGACTCAAGGAGAACCAGGTGTGACTCAAGCTGAACCAGGTGTTACTCAAGGAGAACCAGGTGTGACTCAAGGAGAACCAGGTGTGACTTAAGCTGAACCAGGTGTGACTCAAGGAGAACCAGGTGTTACTCAAGCTGAACCAGGTGTGACTCAAGCTGAACCAGGTGTGACTCAAGCTGAACCAGGTGTGACTTGAGTTGGATCAGTTGTTGCCTAAATTGCATGGGGTGTGGTCCGAGATGGTCCTGGTGTGGACCACAATGAACCAGGTGTGTACCGGACCCGCCCCCCCCCTGGTCACCTGGGGGGGGTCCTGTAATCGCGTCTATATTCATAAGGGTGAAAATAGAAAAAATTGTATGTGAAACACCTGTTCACTCGAGCCTCAACTGTAATTTTTGGTTAAATAATCAATAAATATTGCTTCAAAATCTAAATTTAAATGTAGGTTATGTTATTTTAATTTTCTCTTAGTTTGCACAAAAATGCAGTCAATCATTTACCATATATAATTATAAATCAACAAACGTGTAATGAATAAAAAAAAAAGGAATTTGAACTTGTTTGTGCAACATGAGGATGTTTCTGCAGGGACACGTACAATACTCAGTCAAATGATAACATAAAACATAAAGGCAATGTAAAGGATCTGGGTGTACTCATGTCGGAAGATCTTACCTTTAAAGAACACAATAAAGTAGCCGTCACAACTGCAAGAAAAATATCAGGTTGGATAACAAGAACTTTACACACTAGAGATGCTATACCAATGAAGATACTCTTCAAGACGCTATAGTGCTCTCTAGAGTGGAGTACTGCTGCACAATGACAGCCCCTTTCAAAGGTGGATAAATTGTTGACCTGGAGAGCGTGCAGAGATCCTTTACTGCTAGAATCCACTCAGTAAAACATCTAAACTACTGAAACCGACTAAAGAGCCTAAATCTGTATTCTCTTGAGCGCAGGCGGGGAAGATACATAATAATTTACACATGGAAAATAGTAGAGGGGCTGGTCCCAAACCTGCACACAGAAATAACACCATATGAGACCAGAAGGCATGGCAGAATGTGCAGAATACCCCTCGTTGAAAAGCAGAGGTGCAATAGGTACTCTGAGAGAGACCTCTATCAACATCAGAGGCCCGAGACTGTTCAACACGCTTCCACTACACATAAGGGGCATAACTGGCCGACCCCTCACAGTGTTCAAGAGAGAACTAGATAAGCACCTCCAAGGGATACCCGGTCAACCAGGCTGTGACTCATACGTCAGGCTGCGAGCAGCCGCGTCCAACAGCCTGGTTGACCAGTCCAGCAACGAGGAGGCCAGGTCGACGACCGGGCCGCGGGGTCGCTAAGCCCCGAAATCCCCTCAAGGTAAGGTAACATGACACATCCGTACAGCTTTCTTCAGCGTATGATACATGTGTCCACCTGATGTGTCTCTATGAGTCACTTTCTTCATAGCTCCTTAATGTCACTTTCAACTCTCTCTCTCTTGTTTCATTAATTCCCTCGCAAATCATCGATCAATTCACCTACTCCGGTTTTTCAACTTGCATCCTTTCATCTTTTTTTTGTTTATCTTTTTATCATTTAATCTTATCTCACATCGGACCGTCACGTGGCGAGTTATTCCCCTGGCCGCTTTAGTATACCAGGAGTTGTATACACAGAGGTATACACCCCTACTTCTCGTGTGTTTACAGCCTCTGAGTTTACTACCTGACTACGTTCAGGACTGACTGTATGCTGAAGTCTGATGTATCATATGCCTGAAACTCTCTCAAGAGGTCATGGTGTCAAACTCAGCCGAAGCAACCTACAACACTCAGTGGAACAACACACCTGATGTTGACCAGACCACACACTAGAAGGTGAAGGGACGACGACGTTTCGGTCTGTCCTGGACCATTCTCAAGTCGATTGTGAGAATGGTCCAGGACGGACCGAAACGTAGTCGTCCCTTCACCTTCTAGTGTGTGTGGTCTGGTCAACATACTTCAGCCACGTTATTGTGACTCATCGCCTGCAACACAGCTGATCTTGGATTTATTCAACGACTGATGTCACTTAGTAATGTGAAGGTTCAACAAGGAGGAGGAGATTAAGACGATACAAAGATCAACAACGAGGAGACTACAGGTCTTTTCCTTCAAACTTTTCACACACAGTAACACACAGGAGAAACGCTGGCAACGATTAATCCTTTAATCGCGACACTAAAGGATCTACTGACCCGAAACTCGGTGCTTAACTTTACCCATTAACTTTACCCATTTACCCATGACATCGACGGTGCAGTGGTTAAGGTGTCCTGTTCACCAGTTGCATAGTGCCCCTGGCAGTATAGGTTCGAGTCACTTCTGGGGTGTGAGTTTTCGGTTATATATATATATATATATATATATATATATATATATATATATATATATATATATATATATATATATATATATATATATGTCGCACCTAGTAGCCAGAACGCACTTCTCGGCCTACTATGCAAGGCCCGATTTGCCTAATAAGCCAAGTTTTCATGAATTAATATATTTTCTCAATTTTTTTTCTTATGAAATGATAAAGCTACCCATTTCATTATGTATGAGGTCAATTTTTTTTTATTGGAGTTAAAATTCACGTAGATATATGACCGAACCTAACCAACCCTACCTAACCTAACCTAACCTATCTTTATAGGTTAGGTTAGGTTAGGTAGCCGAAAAAGTTAGGTTAGGTTAGGTTAGGTAGGTTAGGTAGTCGAAAAACAATAAATTCATGAAAAGTTGGCTTATTAGGCAAATCGGGCCTTGCATAGTAAGCTGAGAAGTGCGTTCTGGCTACTAGGTACGACATATATATATATATATATATATATATATATATATATATATATATATATATATATATATATATATATATATATATATATATATATATATATATATATAACCTAACCTATCTTTATAGGTTAGGTTAGGTTAGGTAGCCGAAAAAGTTAGGTTAGGTTAGGTTAGGTAGGTTAGGTAGTCGAAAAACAATAAATTCATGAAAAGTTGGCTTATTAGGCAAATCGGGCCTTGCATAGTAAGCTGAGAAGTGCGTTCTGGCTACTAGGTACGACATATATATATATATATATATATATATATATATATATATATATATATATATATATATATATATACATATATATACATATATATAAATATATATATATATACTGAAGAATTCGGTCGGTATGACGTCGACCAAGCTGACGAGGCGTTTGACCTGTCATCTTCAATCCGGTGCCCCCAGGAATCACATGAGTCAAGCCCATGACATCACCCTAACAAGAGAAATGTTGAAGAAAAATACCTGTATAATAGACAAAACCCAGGATGAAAGAAGGTTACAAATTCTTGAAGCAATTCACAAAAGAATAGAACAACCTACCATGAACACCCAAATCACGGAACTATTTACTCTACCCACCATGAGAGTAAGGACAAGACCAGAACATAACGATGACAACAAAGAAGATACTAATCAGGCCTATTACACCTGATTAATCTTTGAATGTGCTTCGTCCTCCATTTATCTCCTATTTAACCCCTTGCCTTTTCCTTTATTCTACTTGTTTTATCACCTGAGCCCGTACTGGTATAAATTTACCTAGATCTGTAATTTCTTTTCACTTGAGAATGAACCATGGAGGTTCGAAACGTTGTGCAAATTGTATAAATAAGAGTAATACATTCTATAATAATTCACTTTTTTCTTCACCTTAAGATAACGAACATGAGTTTTGGAGAACTCTTTCAGCTAAGCCCTGATGCTAGAAAAATTGTTAGAGGGATAGAAGCCCTAAATCAGAAGATAGTAAATACAGAATATGCGGTCATATTCAATGAGCATATATATATATATATATATATATATATATATATATATATATATATATATATATATATATATATATATATATATATATATATATATATATATATATATATAGTTCTTCCTCTTAATGACCAAGCCTCCCATCTCCCTGGCCAAGCCTCCCATCTCCCTGACAAAGCCTCCCCATCTCCCTGGCCAAGCCTCCCCATCTCCCTGGCCAAGCCTCCCCATCTCCCTGGCCAAGCCTCCCCATCTCCCTGGCCAAGCCTCCCATCTCCCTGACAAAGCCTTCCCATCTCCCTGGCCAAGCCTTCCCATCTCCCTGGCCAAGCCTTCCCATCTCCCTGGCCAAGCCTTCCCATCTCCCTGGCCAAGCCTCCCATCTCCCTGGCCAAGCCTCCCCATCTCCCTGGCCAAGCCTCCCATCTCCCTGGCCAAGCCTCCCCATCTCCCTGGGCCAAGCCTCCCATCTCCCTGACAAAGCCTTCCCATCTCCCTGGGCCAAGCCTCCCATCTCCCTGACAAAGCCTTCCCATCTCCCTGGGCCAAGCCTCCCATCTCCCTGGCCAAGCCTTCCCATCTCCCTGGCCAAGCCTCCCATCTCCCTGGCCAAGCCTCCCCATCTCCCTGGCCAAGCCTCCCATCTCCCTGGCCAAGCCTCCCCATCTCCCTGGCCAAGCCTCCCCATCTCCGTCACCTCACATCCCATATCCATCTTGCCCTTGACATTTGAACGCCATAACAGATAACAGACCGCAGACGGATCACGCTTCTATGTTTTGCCTCTTCCTCTGACGCAGTAATGACGCAGTGTGACGCGGCGTGACGCAAAGTGTGCATAGTGATATTTTGGAGGCTGAGAGAGATGATTAGGATGGAGGTATCCTCCCAGTGTTCCAAACTGAACTCAGTGTATTAGACGTAAACTGACGTCTACGTCAGTTTAATTTTCATGCGAGAAATAAAGCAAAAGCGAGTGAAAATAAATCTATAAAAGCAATCTATAGAGAAAGGATAGATAAAATAATGGATAATTATCAGCAGACGTGGTTAGCTGACAACCCCATTACGTCAGTGTCGTACGATGCCCCAGAGGCTCTCCTGCCTGGTGAGTCGACAGGTCGAAAATCTAGGGTAGATATATGGCTTGTATCGACCGTATTTGCTGGGAGACTTTGAGCCTTTTTTGTCTGCAAGTGGTGGG